TGGAAGTGACAGAAGATACCCCCCAGGTCTGACTTAATAGAGAAGAAAGGCAAATCCATGATTATGCAGAAGGAGGTCCAGTATAAAAAAACATGATAATCAGGGAATAGTCTGCATCTAAACTGCTTGAATTAGTGAATGAAAGAGCCTCTCACAGTCTGCTGTGGATGGGATCAGTCTGAATGTTGTATAAACAGAGAAACTGGGTAGTGTTACTATCTATTCCTTGAGATAAAGGCTATATAACCTGTGGTTAATAGAAGGGAGGTCAGTTCCTGATAGGCTCATGAGTCGTTGCAGACACTTGGCTACTGCTAAGTGCCCCCAAAATAACAGGGAATGAAGACAATAAAGGAAGGACGGGCATTATTTAGGGAACTTCACATGAGAGAGGTAATGTTTAATGCTCAGTCTATGGGCCACATAGAAGTGTAGTCACAGGAAAGGTAAGAAAGAAGTTGATTCAGTAGAGACCTCAGGATCTGTATGGCACTTTGGTGGCTTTGCTGAGCCCCCATGGTGATCTTTACAAGACTGGAGAGGCCCTGGGGTATCTGAATGACTTAGGCTAGTATGTATATCTTGAATTCATAAAGTGCTGAAGTAATCAAGAGGGGAATCAGAATACGATGCAGGAGGCTGGAGAGATGGCCCAGAGGTTAAGAGCACTGACTACTCTTGCAGAGGACCCAGCTTCAATTCCTAGCACCCACACAGCAGCTAATAACCATCTGTAACTCCAGTTCCAGGGGAATCCAACACACTCTATGGACATCTGTGGGCACTGCATGACATGGATGCACTTACACACATGCAAACAATACCTATTTGGGTCTACTATTTGGGTCTCTATTTGGGTCTACTAAAAACAACTGTGGCAAGATCTGCGTCGAGCCAAAGCTGCTAAGGAAAAAAAATGGGCAGAAAGTCAGATGCTGCACTTGTGAGCTTCTAGAAGGCATAAATGATAAAACAGCACAATTGCGAGATTAAGCTTATCTTAGGGGCAAGCAGTTATTCTTCTAGAGTATGCTGTGTATAGTATTCCCCTATAAGAATGTATACTGGGGATGGAGACTGTTTTCCCAGCCTGGGGCCTTCTCAGCAGCCAGATTTGGCCAATGGAAAGGCAAGGGCTACAGTATTGTTCCAGAACCTGTCATAAGAGGAGTGCCAGTTCCAGTGGCAGGCATAGGGAGCAAGAGTGTGGCTGTGCTCCCCTGGGCCTGAATCAGGCTGATTGATACAAGCTGGTCCTGCAGTGGGGAGACCTGCAGTGGCCTTATAACAGCAGCAGCAGCAGCACCTAAGGATGAAGTGGCCAGATAGTTCACAAAAAATGACTGTGAATTATGGAGAACTAGATGGGATAGTGTGGTGGTTTGAATGAGAAACGCCCCCCGCCCCCCAATAGGCTCAAGTATTTGAACACTTTGTCTGCAGTTGGTGGCACTGTTTGCAGATGTCATGGAATCTTTGGGAGATGTACCTTTGATGGAGGAAGGATGTGACTAGGGGCTGGCTTTGGAAGTTCATAGTCTCACCTCAATTCTAGTTTTCTCTCTGCGTGGTGTTTGTGATTGAAGATGTGAGCTCTGAACTTCCTGCTCTTGCCACCTTGCCTGTTGCTTGCTGCCATGTCTCCTCATCCTGATGGACTATGGACTTTTATTCCTCTTGAACCACAGCCAAAATAAACTTTTTCTTCTATGATTTGTTTTTGGTCATGGTGTTTTATCACACAACAGAAAAGTAACTAATACATATAATATCTGTCATTTATTCCACTTTACCTGACATTGTTCTTTGGAGGAAAAAAACTGATACAGATGACAGGATCTTTCCATGCTGTATCAGACCTTGCTAATGCTTTTTTGGTATTCCTTTGGCCACCCAAAATCTATTGGACCATGGTTTGAGCTGAAGTGTTGGGCATTCAAGTGATCCTTCTCACCCACCATAAGAAAAAGAAGAAAGAAAAAAAAGGTTTCTTTATAAAATGCTAACCCTTGAAAAAGCATCTGGAGAAACAGTAAAAACATTAGCTAAGGAGTATGAATGAAGGCTCCCTGTGTGAGTGGGAAAGGATAACCCCATAAGTCATTAGGTTGTGGGGTGAACATCCCAGTACCAGAGGAGTGTTACCTCCCTATGAGTTGTTGGCCATGGAGGCTCTTCAAATCCTCTACAACATACAAGTCATTGACACTGCTGTGGTACCTGCCTGAACTAGAAGAAAAGTCCCAAGAGCTGAAGACATTTTGGCTGCAGGACATGAAGAAATCAGGCTAGGACTGAGACTGTGGTTCCCGCTCTCCTTCTGTAGAACTAGAAGGCACTAGGCAGGCCTCTGGGAAACTGTCACTAATAGTCTGCACAGTTAGGGGTGCCGGATGTACTGTTAACAGGCCAGCCAAAATATGCTCCATGGTGCAATAGTGGTATGACCGTTACAGGTGCCACCAACTTCTTTCTGATTGGATGTAAGACTGTGACACAGTGGCCCAATGTTTAGCCAGAGATAGAGAAAAACAACTGGTTATCAGTATTACTCCCCCAAGCTTAGGGAATGTCTCAGAAGGGTGGAAAGAACTGGAGGAATGGGTGGATGACTTTGTAGCTACTTCCTTTGCATTGAAACATGTACTCCTAGAGCAGGGAGGAAGACTTGTAAGATTTAGGAAGCTAAGGGAGGTTACAGGCTCAGGAGGCTCACCCCACGTGGCTCAGAAAGTTAAAGATTCACAAGGCCCATCCTCAAGGCTAGAAAAATATTAAACAAGTTCTAGGGGAAAAGGAACTTCCCAGTGGAGTTTGAAGTTAGGCAGAAAGTTCTAGGAATACAGCTTTCATGAGCTGTTACCCACACTGAGGTGGGCTTGTTACTGATGCAGCTGCCTTGGATCATCTACACTCTTATAAGTAACCCCCAAAACTCTTTGGTTCACCAATCTAGATTTAGGTGGAATTTTTCTTTGGTCTGTCATTGGTGCCCTAATTGAGGTGACAGATGTTTGTTCACACTTCCTCAGGAAAAGTCACACGACAACCTTCCAAGAAAATAGACAAAAACCAAATGAAGCTGGGTGCGGTGGTATATGCATGTAATACGAGCAGTAAGAAGGATCCAGAGTTCAAGTTACACAGTAAGTTTGAGCTCAGCATGGGCTACATGAGATCCTGTCTCAAAATCAAAACCAAAACAAAACAACAATAAAGTTAAAACAGTAAATTAATAGAGGAAATCAATAAAGCCAAAGCAGATTCTTTGAAAAAAAAAATTAAGAGAACCTAATTCACCCATGTAACTAAAAGAAAAAGACAACACACAGATTACTTGGAACAGTGAAAGAGGTGGCATTTCTATTAATCCCATAGTCAGTAAAAAGACCATCTGGGGACATTATGAAACTTCTATGCTCATGAAATTAATAACTGACATGAAATAAATGAATTTTTGAAAAGAAAAAAAAGTCTTTCAAATTTCACCCAAGAAGAAATAATGCAATACAGATATAACACTGTATGTAATGAAAAAAAAAAAAATGAAAACACTAATGAGTGACTTTTCTAAATATAAGGGCCAGGCCCACAGACCGTCCTCATGTTAATTATGCCTATCACTTACTAAAAATAAACTTACTAAATCACTTACTAAAAATCAATCATCTACACTTCTTATGAACAAAGATGTCAAAATTTGAAAATAACAGCATATTCTACTTATGAATGTATTAACCATATTCTATACCACACCCAAGTGGGACTCATAAATGCGTAAGATTGATAGAACCTTCAAAACTCAATTAATGTGATCCATCATCTCACTAGGCTAAACAACAAGAATCTTAAGATCATATCAAGAAATGCAAAGAAAACAGAAGGCAAGAAAGAAAGGGGACAGAGATTCAATATGAACAAATAAAACTCTTCACAAACGGCAATGTCCATGTAGACAGTAACCAGCAGCAGGAGAAACGGGCAATGAGAACAAAACCATGATAACCTCCATGGAGAAAGTCCCTAAGAAGCATCAGCAGCAACAACACAAATTACTAAGGAATTGTAGCAAGGTTCTAGCAACATCATGAAAATATACAAAAAAACCCATGATATTGCTAGTTATCAAAAAAACTAAATTTTAAATAAAAAACATCATTTGTGTAATACAATGACAGAAAAACAAAACAAAACAGAATTCATAAAACAAGGGTCACTAGGAAAATACTCAGTGGTAGTCTTGAAAAACAAGCTAGAGTCACACAGAAAAGCTGTTTAAGGCTAGACAAACAAAACGAAATCAGATCACTTGTGCTGACAAATCATAGAATAACAATTTTTTTGTAGTTCTGTTTTGAGACAGGGTCTCCCTTGTGGCCCTAGCTGGCCGGGAACTCCCTGCGTAGACCAGGCTGGCCTCGATCTCACAGAGATCCGCCTGCCTCTGCCCCCGAATTCTCAGATTAAAGGCGTGCGCCCCTGTCCCATCTAACAAAAATTTTAAATGAACTTAAATTTATTAATATTCAATAAGCAAGGTATTTTTTTCCACTGCGTAAAAAAAGATGCATTACCACCTGGGAACAAAATCGAAAGCAATACTGTAGTAGCAGAGGAGTGAGTGACTGAAGTGGTTGAACCTCAGCCCTATCTGAGGTCACAAGTTCGCCCTTCCACTCCGGCCCCAACCACGTGTGTATGGAGAGTCCCCTTTAAAATGGATTTGTCAACAGGAACTACCTGGATATTTAGGGACTTTTAGTCTTAAGAAGCACTGCGGTGGGGGACAAACTCGTGGACTTCAGACGCTGCTTTCCCGCGGAGCGCGTCCCGCAGGAGCCGGGCCCTCCGGGTCCGCCGCGCAGTCCCGAGCCCCGGGGCGGAGACAGCTCCGCGGAGACTGCGGCGGGAGAGAGCGAGGGCCCCGCCCGGGAGCACAGGGACCACGGTCCCTCCGGCAGCCCGCCCGCCCACCTCTCACACCCGCCCCCGTCGCTCACCATTTCTGCGTCTGGGGCTCTCGGGTTCGGCAGCAGGTCGGCCGCCGAGTCTGAGATGCCCACACTCCCAGAGCTGACAGGAGCGCCCCGGCTATGGCGACGCCAGCAGATAAGATGGCGGGTAAGGAACTTCCGTTTCCCGGGCCGGTCTCCTATTTGCTCCGGTGTTGTTGGCGTCAAGAAAAGGCTGCTCCTGGGTTGGCCCTACATAGCCGGGAGGATGAACAACCACCCCACTCTCCAACACCTCTCCCTTAGTTGACAGGACCGCCCGGCAACTAAGGCGGATCAGGAAGAAAGACGGTGGATGAGGAAGCGCCGCCGCCTCCCCCGGCGCTCCTGATTGGCCAGCTTGTCCGCCTGCCTCTGTCTTCCTGCTCCGGGCTCAGAGTCCTAGGGATTTCCCGGTGGGTGAACTGGAGCCAAAATGGCATGTACATCTACCCACAGGTAGGCTTCCTTTCTTAGCGAGAACCAGATCAGCTTGGGGCATAGCTGCCTTTAAAGCCGAATTTGCACCTGGCAGCAAGAGTAGCAAGGACAGTGCCCATGTAGAAAGTCCCTAAGAAGCACATAAAATTGGTTATACTAATTCAAAGTTCAAAAGAGGCAAATCCAAGTGCAACTCTGCTTTAATGATAACTAGGAGTTGAAGGATAAATAGCTCAGCTTGGAAAGCACCATTCATCAGCCTGACAAATGACTGAACAAACTGACCATCCCATCCCCCAACCCTGCCTCCCCACTCCAGGAGGGAGATACATCCATCTCAGAACACAAGGCCTCTAGCCTAGACATCTGGTTCCTTACCACCCCCCTTGCAGAAGATATCTGGGTCCCCATCAGAACTTCTCGTCTCTCCTCTCCAGATTCTGGGAAGCATGAAACCATCCCAGAAGGCATGACCACCTTCTGGGATTCTGGGAATGAACCGCCTTCTAGCCTCCTATAAATTTGAGACTTTCCCTTACTCACAACCTCCATTCCCATGGGGAGTTTTCTTGCCCTCCATACTTAATAAAGTTATCTGCCTCTGTTGAGGTTGGATTTGGTTTCTACTTCATCATGTTGCCTTTTCATCTGGAATTCTAACATTTGATACCAAAAACCCAGGAAGGGTTTGGGGGTTCTGAGCCTCAGCTCTTCCCTTTCCTATAACTCCTTTCAAAACCTATCTGGGCCAGAGCGTGGTCACCCTGCCCTCTTACTTACTAAATAGCCTCCAGATACAACCTGTAGTCGGGCTTTGAGGCCTCTGTCTTCCTAAGTGGTGCAAGCCTTGTTCAGGGATTTTACTGGTGTGCCATGTAAACCCAGTTTGGGTTCTCTTTTCTCTACAGCTGCCCCTTCTCTTCCCTTCACTTATCCATCCCAATCTCCAGAGCAGAGGCCTCTTGTCATTTGCCATGCCCTGGCACACAACACCAACGGGCCAAGGTAAGAGTTCTCTTCCTGTCCAGTCTGGGGGACACCCTGGGCTGATACCTTTAAGTTGTTTGCCTCCAGCTCTGCCACTCTGAACCTGGGGTTCATTGACTTTGCCTCCCAGGTCACCGGAATTTGGGATTCCAGTCCCTGGGCACTCATTCCATGGTCTTTTCTTGGAAGCCTGTCTCGGCTTGTGGCCAAAGAAGTCCCACTCTTATCTTGCCTAAAATGGGGTCTAAGATTTCTATACCCAAAGGCATGCCCTGGATTGCCTTAGGCATAACCTTAAAGCACTAGGCTTAACTGACTTCAAGCCTGCCACTTTCATTCATTCATCAGCTGAAGTCTGGACCCAATATAATTGGACAATAATCATATTCGGCCCAAATTTGTAATTCGGACCTCACTGACTTAGACAACATCATAAAAAATGGAATGACCAGTAGTCTGAAGTACCGAAGCCTTTTCTATCTCTGGACCTGTTCCTCTTTTTTTCCACCTTCCACCTTTACTTCTGCCCTTCTATCTGTTCTTTAAAAATCCTGCCTTTGCTTTCTCAGTCACACACACAGGTATTTGCTGACAAGATACTGCCAGCAAATCTCACTCTTGCTCCTGCCCATTTCCTCTTTGTTCCTCTGGGCAAACACCAGCCCCTTCTCTCTGCAAATTCCCTCCAGCCAGCCACTCAGCTTTTTCCTGATCTGCATGGCTCTAGGGCTTTTCTCTGCTTTCCGCAGATGCCTGGCTTTTCTCTTTGGCTTTTGCTGGCCCTGCATGATCCTCAGGTCTCCAATAAAGGGCCTAGCCTAACCTAATCTGACTTGGCCCCATGTTCCTGTCCACTGCTCCATTGCATATCCCATGCAGCTCATGATTTCAGGTGCTGCTCACCACTCAAGCTTTGACCCTAACCAGTTTCAGTTTATTTCTCAATGCATACTATCCTGGAAATTCCTTGGAGTATAGGCATTTAGTCCTGTAGTCTTCTTGCAAATCTTTCTGTTTTTTACCTTAAAGTTTTAAATCAAGACACATTTTTATATCCTCAGACACTATCTGATGACACTCTTAGCTTTGGGGTTGCTGGAACTTAATAGTTTGTTACTACATCCCAAAGCAAAACTAGTGCTCTGTTTGTCCATCCCAAATAATTAACCTGCTGGTCATAAATCTATTAGGTCAAATAGGCCCACTAAAAATGACCCAAGATGATTTGGCTCTGGATTCGCAACATTCCAAACTCTTTCCATCATGAAAGTTCTAGTCATTTATCAGCCTTAATTTTAAAGTTACAACTTCTTTTGGGGAACTTTGTTCACATCTCCTTACACTTTACCTTTGTTATGTCCTCTTCTTAATCCATTCTATTGGTGAGATTTCCCACAGAACTTTTATTTGACTATATGTTTGTTTCTTATATTTCAGATTGGTTTTCTTCAGTATTTCTCTATATTTAATTCCTCTTTCATATCTTCACTTCATTCACTGTTGGCTTTTAAAAGAAAATGTTTTAGATTATTTTTATTATTTTTATTTCTAAAAAATTATTTTGGGTTTTGACTTTATATGGTACATTGACTGGTTTTTAAGCTTGATTATTTTATATAATACTCGTCTGTTTATGACAGCCTGTCGTCAAGCTCTACCCTGAGTTCTACACTTCATTTGCTGCAAGTTTGTTTCCAGGCTTCATGTCTCCTAAGGAACCACCTTCCTCCATGCTTTAGGTTCCACTCTGTCCGTGGGATGTCCATCCCACCCGCCCCTTTATTCTGTCTGTGGGATCTCCCCCCACTCTTTTACCCTTGCCTTCTGTCAACCCTTATGAGATTTATGGTAAACATCTATTTGATAAGGTTTTTCTATCTACTGTGTACACTCATTTAAAAACTAAAACTCTCTAAACTATGTTTTCAGAGAAATTCGCCTGGGACCCTAAAAAGCCCCAATGTGTACACAGATAATATTAATTTATTGCATTATATTTTGTGTTTAATTTGGATTCCATGTTCTTTTAGTAAAATAATGTGACATAGTACTCTCTTCTGAGTCAAACTGCCTTCTTCATGACTTCAGCTGTGCCTACTTGCAAAAGATCAACATAATCAAACTTGATTATCATGTTTTAGGTGCACCTAGTTTTATGTAATTATGTCATATGTGTCTAGGATAATTGTTTTCATGTGTTGTTTGAGAGTTCATGTAATTATGTCATATAAGCCTATAAGTATTATTTTTTGAGATCTCACGTAATTGTGTCGTGTGTCTATGATATTTGTCTTCATATGTTGTTTCCATCAAAACAATTTTTTAAACAAACTGTGGCAACTTCCGTTTTTTCTTTTTCTTGTGTACAAAAATTACTGGTTTCATTTTTATTTTGGCATGCATAATAAAAATGCACACAGGTAGATTTTTAAATGTGGGCATTTTGATGATACATTCAAAGGCCTTATAATCTTGGATACCCTAAACATCTTTAAATCTATTAACCAATGTCTCTAGGTCTATTAAGTGTTTCATAAATTTTTTTTTGGTCTTTTTGAGACAGGGTCTCCCTGTAGCCCAGCTGTCCTGGAACTCACTATGTAGAACAGGCTGGCCTTGAACTCACAGAGATCCACCTGCTTCTGCCTCCTGAGTGCTGGGATTAAAGGCGTGCGCCACAACGCCCGGCCACTCATAAAACTTTTAAATGCTAATTGTTTATACAAAACAGCATTCATTAAAATCATAAATATATTAGAATTTTGTTTCAAAACAGGTTCTAAATAAATATATATTCATTAAAATGTTTATTTCAGTTATGTGCTGGTCAGAGATGATAATATAATTTCTCTTTCATGTGTTATTGATATAAAGCTGTTAAATACAGAGTTTTTGTTAAGGATAAACTACAAGTAAAATGATAGATGTATAGGTTTGCTGGAGATCTTTGTATTACAGTTTCAGAATAAGAATAACAGGAAACATAATCTCAGCAAAGAGTAATTACAAAAGCTTAGTTACTAAAATCTATCATATATAATTGTGTATGTATACATGGTCTACATGAACTTATGTGTTAAAAAATAATTTATGTGGTATCAAATTGACTTATAAGTAAGTTGTCATGTAAACCAAAATTGTAAAATTAACCCTAAAATATTTTGAAGGTCAAAATGTTATCTCTTTGATCCTTATCTTAACTCTGGTTCTAAAACATGGTTCCTATTGTTTGAAGATATGTTAATTTTAAGAGATGACTACTTCAGCTTCAGGGTACAGTGTCTTCTATGGAAAATTTGCTCTTATGAGATGCTTAAACTATTTCAAGGATTTATAAAAGATCCCTTATCTTTGTGCTTTTAGATATATTTTGTATATTTTACAGATTTTTAGGCCATTTTTGACCACTACTGCCTCTTTAAAGCCAACAAACAGGTTTGTCAAAGTCTGTATTTTTTCCAAGATAAATCATCTCTAAACATTTAAAAAATAAAGCATATCATTTAAAAAAAACCACCTTCAAGGCTTACAAAGATATCTTAGCGTTTATAGATAATATTAATGTGTTACATTATTTTTATTGACTTTTTGTGTATTTCATACATAAAATCATCTTTATAACCCCTTCCCCCATCCCCTTTGGCACCTCCCATAGCCCCTCTCACCAACTGGAGTTTGTACATTCTGTCATTTGTGTTAA